AACATTAAGAAAACTCTTAATCTGGAATCCGTGGACGTTTTGGTCGCTAATAAGTCTGGACCGACTGATAAGATCTTCACTTTGAATAAGTAATGCTTTGATAATGACTTTGAAAGGCATAAAAATAGGAGATTTTACTGAATAAATGTTAAGAAATGCCAACTTCTCTAATATATTGCTTCTCATTAGACCAGAAGTTTCAATGAGATCTAAGAGGACTAAAGAGTTTGCTATTTGTTTATCATTTGAGACCAAATCATCAAAATCTAATACATCTATTTTATGGGCATTTATTTTGCAGATTTTAATGAACTTTTTAATGCAGTCTCTTATGTCATTGTCATCACTGATTACTGTTAGTTTGGATAACATATGGCTAGCCATGCAATGTAGGCTCGAAATCGGAAAGAAACTCAAATCAATTATTTTTGTAATCCTTTCTTTTTTCATCACTGTTTGCAATGCAGTAATATATAAGTCGTGAAAATTATTCGCATTTAAATACTTAATGAGTTCTGGATTTAAATGAATTATTTGGGAATCATTTGGTTTCATATTTGTACCAGTTACTTTCAGATCTTTAAGTTTTAAGAAGTCCTCATTGAGAGTAAAATTCATAGAAATGTGTGTTTTATTAGAAACAGCGACGGGTCGGACAGTTGCCGGATATATAGCCTGTTCCCATCCTATTAGCTCAGAAGGAGGTTCTGTTGATATGTGAATGTCTTGGATTAGATTTAAGTCAAACCAAACTCCGATGGCATCAAGTGTTCCCTCAGTCACACAATTCACATCAATGCTAAACATGTGATCCCTTTCTAAGAGTTTTTCGATTTGCAAAATATCATTGAAATTGATATCAATTATTTGAAATGGTTTGCTTAAAAACTTTTTGTCGGCAACTTTGGACAAATTGGTTGTCGTGTACTTCATATCATTGAAATCGACACAAAAGGACACGTCGTCTGAAACACGAATGTCTCCGAACTGTCTTCGGTTAAGAGTAAAAACATCTCTCAATTCATTACTCTCGATAAGAACCCCATAAACTGTAGCTCTGTTTGGGACAACCATTCCGTGGTTGGGATCAACTAAATTCTTAAGGGCTGAGTAAATAGTGGTTAAGACGTGTTCGCCAAACAAGGCCGCGTCGAATATCTCGGTCACCACCAGATGTACTCTTCAGGCAATCAGTGAATTAATTCATTTCTCATCACATATTCTGCTAATAAATGAATGGACACAAGACTTACGGCTTTTCAATCATTTGAGGAATACGTAAATTAGTGGACATTTCGTTGAAGAGCACCACTTTATCCATCACTCCATTGGTTTGCAACACATCTCGACATAAATGGTATAACATATCCGACACTTCACACGCGTAGACCTTAT